ACCAAAGACATTATGAAAAGACGGAGCAGGTCGTTTTTATAATAATCATAAATTTTGACGCATTTGCCCAGGAATAAAATATTGTGTTTTGGTAAGAACATCAGAGAACAAAAAATCAAAGTACAAAACTTTTTTGCTAAGTTTGTAGAAACCGAACCAAATTCAAAAATAAGGTTTTCCAAATTTTCGCAGCTTATAAGCTCTATAGAGCGGTTTCTTGTGTTCTTGTTAGCCCCAAAGAAACTCACATAGTTTTTGTTTGCACTAGTCATTAAAATGTCAATTTAATGTTGGATACAAAAATTAAAAGTGTTGACGTAGATTTATTATCTTTGACCATTTGTGACGGGGATTGTATGTTTTCCAAGTGTGAAAATACCCTAGCCAGCAGAATGCGCGAACATTTTTAAAAAAATCAAATTAATAAAGATATAAACGTAGAATACAAACAGTGGGTATCTACTGATGGATGTAATTAATTTAGCTCTAATTTACCAGTTTCTAAATTCATTGACGAAATATTATCAGCAATAGATTCTTTGAAAAAGCATCATTATATTTCAAAAGCTCAGACAAAATATGCATTTAAAAAAAAGTTATTTGCTTTTCACGTTACATTCAAGGTGATTTTGCTGAAAATTTCTCCTTCATTTTACAAGAGGAAATACAAAAAGTTCACTCAGGCCACATTACATCCCTTTGTTATGTTTTATAAAGATGAAAATAATGAATTATGAGAACTTATTAGTTTAATAAAATTTGTGGGGGAAAATAAATATAATTTTATTAATTTGGCATATCCCAAAAATGACTTTGATTTAAAGGCAGAGTGGAATTTTTTTGCCACATCGCACGAAAAAGGCCTTGTGATGAAATAGGGTGAACCGTTAAGAGATTGGTTTTAAAAGCAAGCCTGCAAAGACCTCATAAGGATACAATTTTATGACCTTTGGATATGTTCAAGTTTTGCAATGAACATATAAAAGGAATACATTTTTTATATAAAACCTGAAATAATAGAACAAAAATTAATCCTTGAATCGAGATATAAAATGGTAACATGGCTGCAGTATTAAAAATACTAAAAGTTTCATTAATTTGTGCCTTAAAATTTACAAATTATTCAGGTTCGAAGTACATTGGAATCAAACCGTTTTATAAATAAAAAACAAAATTTGCAGTTTTAAAAAACCAATAAATTATTATTGGGGTTACCCAATGGGGAATGTCATTAAATTTAAATAAACAACTACCTTAATAGATTAATAGATTAAATTAAGATTTCATGAAGAAAAACGATATAAACATTACCATTAACATAGTTTTGTATTATAAATGCAGTACTGCAGTAACACGTTAATTAAGTTAATAAGCATTGTTCACGATAAAAATTAACAAGTTCTCTGTTAAAAGTATTGCTGAAATACACATAATTATTTACTTATGCATAGTACCAAAATTGTTCTTGTGTTAAATTAAATAAGTGATCATGCCATCTTGATAAAAATACCATAAAAGTAATTATATATATAAATATATTCTATACAATTTGCGGTATTTTAAAGCGTTGTATTTTCTTAGCCATGCAAATACACAAAAACATTTTTTACAGTTTTTAGTTTATGTTGAGGTTAAATTTTGAAGAATTTTTGTTCAGTCCCTCCAAAATTTAATGGGAAATTTTCAAAATTAAAATGCATTTTTACCATGGTATTTCCTGCAATTTGGATACTTTTTTTATAATTTCGCATTTTATATTTTTTTCAATATTTATAATTACTTTAAATAAAAATATTCACCAAATCAAATTTTCATAGCCTACTACATAATATAAATGGTAAAAAATTATTATTTTGTTAAAAATAAATAAAATAAATGGTAAAAAATTATTATATTATTATATTGAATTTTGTCTCACCTTATGGTTTTCTACTCGTCAAACCTTTTGATTTAATACCCATTTAATATTATATTATTTTATAATAGAAGCACTTTCCGCACAAGTTAGAAACTATATTATGTATCAATTTTTATAAACGCCATTTTAGTTACATGTTTTATCAGGTACGAGCAAATCTTGCGAGCAAGTGTTTAATAAAAACGAGTGTCTAGAGAAGTTTATAAAATGAGTTGCATCCTTTAGTGTATATACTACGACGAACACAGAAAAGAATTTAAAGCCAATTTTACAGATTTAACCTTACTTTTTCCCAATTTATATTAAAGCTAACTTCAGCCCGTGACTAAAATTCCCAAAAGCCACCATTGCTAACTTAAGACCGTGACTAAAACGCCATAAGACTGCTCGTCAAAGTAGGAGAAATAATATTACTTATACAAAGTCGGGGAGAGCATTTAAGAACAAATTTAAAAAGAAAATATTTGTAAATTTTGTTTTTATTTAATTACGTGCACATGGGGCCGAGGATAGCGCAGTGGGTTGAGCTACAGAGCTGTAAACAATCTGCGTCTAACGGTACCGGGTTCGATTCCCGGCCACAGCCTTAGGTGTTGTATTTGTTTATTAAACAAAAATAAAAATATATCATGAGCTGGCTAAATAGTCTGGAAAAGACTAAAAGCCAATAAATCTAAAAAAAAAACGTGCACATGGTTAACCGCTTAAATAAAAAAACGTTTCTTACATAAAAAAGTGAAAACTATTTACATTAGCAATGGGGTACAAATACTACATAAACATTTTTACACAGATTAAAAAGTCATTTTAAATATGTTATAAATAATCAAATAAGGCTAAAAGGGGTTAAACTAGAAATGGGAGATGGAGGTCAAAGGTCTAAAAAATCTTTATGCAAATGCTAATATCTAGTTTCCTATGCTTAAGGCTTTTATAATTTTTTTAGAACTTATAATTTTATCAATATGTTGTATCATGAATCGTTATCAACACATCAAAAAAGTAGGCTAGCATTAAAAAAGCATCCTAAATTCCGAGACCCTAAAAAAATTCATGGTTAATTTTATTCGTTATCTAAATCTACAACCTCCATTTCAAAAATAACTAAATTTTTAAAAAATAAAAATAATACAAATCAGTTAAAAATGTTTGAATGTGCCTTTTAAACAACTTATAAATATAAAAGCATAATAATAATAATAATATCTCTTTACCGGGATAGCGAAACTACCGAAAGTGTACAAAATTTCGGTGGTGAATAATGATTTATTTACATGGCTTTCAGAATTTAAATGGTTTTTCTACTCCTATTACACAATATGAGCGTTCTTACATCAATGTTTAATGTTTAGTTAAATATATTTCCACTGTTTAATTACATATATTCCTTAAACTATTACAGAATGATAATGATAATCATGGGATGACGGAATAAGCACTGGTGGCGCAATCTCTGTGTTTATTATCTATATATAACAACTTTTAGACCGATCCAACCTCACTTTTTCCCAATTAAATTATTTTTCTATAGTATTTTTTGGAAACTTTTCACTCGAGCGGAATATGCCGTATTCCAAACTTGTTACAGACTATACTACAACACAGAACGTTTTAAAAATGTACATTTTTGGTTATATTTACGTACGTACATCTTAAGACCAAAAAAATATGTATTAAGTACGTACTATATATTATGTACATAAAATGTAAGGTTCAGTCATCCTCAGTACGTAGTACGTACTACGTAAATAGTATGTACGAAGAAGGTATGTACAAAATACTTAACCAAAAGTTTGAACAAAAAACTTATGATCTCCTATAAATAATTTCAAATTCTTATTTTGTTTACATACCTACCTAATAATAACAAATAATAGATTAAAATCAAAAAGGACTGAGTTCAATTTTGAAATAAAAATAATACAAACTATTGTATATTTCTCATTAATCCAAGATACAGAATTTATTTGAATTGGGTAGTACCTAAGAATTTAGTCATCATTTATTTTTAAGGATTGATTTTATTGAAAATGATGAAAATTTTTGTTGACTAGTGAGAATCAAACTCAAGACATAGTAAAAAAATCATTGTGTGGGTCCCACCACCCATACTTGTAAAAAAAAATTCCATTAACAAATATTTAAACCCCAAAACAAATTTTTAGCGGTTTCAAGGTTGTGTAATCTACACAGAAAAAAAGGAATAGTTAATTTAAGTATAATAATTTAGTTGACCCATATTTATTTAAATCAACTGTGGATAGGTTAATGTAAACAAAGATTAGTTTGACGGTACTAAACCAGATAGTTATTTTATTTTTTTAAATTGGTTAAATTAACCCAGAAAACTTTAGTGAAACCAACCCGCTGTATGGTTGTTTACTAAATATGTATTTTGTAAAAGAGTTACTTCAACCTTAAGCACTCTGTTAAAACGATTAAAACAATTTGCCATGCATTCCTGGTTGCGTAGTATGTACCGATCGCGGCAAAGGCGGTGTGGATCACGTGATGTTCTTAAATCTCGCCTCTGTTGACTTACATTAAGAGTATATAAGCTCAGGTAGTCCTTTGCTTTGGTGTGACACTACAAGTTGTACGATACTGAAGAGACTAAAGAGACCTTAAATAGGTGGAAACAGATGTCAATACTTGGAGTATTTTAAGTTGGTGCACCATGGCGTTCCATGGAACGCACTAAAAACATTATCTCTAGCGAGGTGAAGGTTAAATTTTCTGGAATAATACCACTGGTATTATACTAGTAATGCGTCAATTGAATTTCATGTTTCTTGAAAAATATAAAAAATGGCTCAAAAAAATGTTTTAAAATTATATTTAGTCAATTCAACCAAATGTATTTAGTTAAATCAAACAAATAATAGTTAAGCTAACTAAATATAAACCGCCGTAGAGTGAACAATTGCTGAGTGAAACATGCGGTCATAAACAAGTGTTTCTATAGGTATTGTATCTGCAATGCTGTTTTTTCTCCTATACACTTGAAGTTTTAAAAAGGACTAAATCCAAGACGATTTAAATGAAATATTAAATGTTAATTTGGTGTCAACTTTTGTTGCAGGGTACAAATGTCGAGAGCACTGGCCGAGCAAACTGGGCGAGCAAGTTTTTAATATTGTGCTCAACATAATGATGCTTTTAATACCGTTGCTCATAATGTGCGTCGCCTATTCCCTAATAATGTCGAAACTCTGGAGAGGTCTGAGACGGGAAATGGAGCACAGCAACTCTTGTCAAAGGCAAAGTAAGTATTAGAAATATCTGCTTAAAACAAAGGGTATGCACAGTAGGGTGTACGTTATTTACCAACTTGTTTTTTTTTTCGCAGCGCCCCCTAAATTTTTAGTTAATGACAAAGACGATACATTTCCCATTTAAATAACATAGGCACATTTTACATTTAATTTTGTTTATCCAATCCATTATAAAATTTTGGTATTATGATTTTTTAAATTTTAGGACTATTAAAATCGGTCTCCATACAATGTTTAAAATAATTAAATAAAAATAAATTATTTTAAAATTTTTATTTTTTTCTATAAGCAAATTTTATAAACAGTTTCAGTTTTTAAAATGTATATGTATCTACTAACCAAAGTTACAGGATATTGTACAGAAATTTCAAAATAGACCGTTAAATATTCCATGGAATATTAATAATTGTTGATAATCGCACTCTTCAAATGAACGCTGTAACAGAGGCATGCATGATTAAGCCTGTGCGATTAAAATATGATATAACAAATATGGATGGGGTAATTTATAAAATATAAAATAGATATTAATGTACAGTTACGGAAAGAAGTAATGTCCATTTGAATGCTCCATTGTAATTGTTCGGAGGCATTCGGAAATGGTCAACATCTGCCTCTTAGGGATTTATTTAAAAATATGTCTATATTTAGAATTTACTACCTGCTCGTATTGAATTAATTATTTTGGGTATGTTACATATTTAACTGTATTTTTATTAAATCGTTAATTTTTTGATATATTTTTGTATAGTTTTATAAACATTTATTTTATGAAAAAACTTTTAATAAGAACTTTTTAGGCTATAAATTATATTATCAAGTTGTAGTTTTTTAAAACTTACTTTACATTTTTCAGAACTAGCAATGATTCAATACACTATTTTAGGAGTAAAAACAAATTTTATTATTTGTTGCACTTTTATGTGTTAAAATTAAAAACATACCCTCTAAAAATGAATTAGTCAAAAATTACTAGTTAATAGTGGCTGCTTTTTCACTTGTACCATGGTTAACCATGGAATATCATGGTATCCCAAAACTAAATAGCCAATTCTTATGTAAAATTATCCCCTGAATCCGAAAATACCGTCAAAAGTTAAAAAAGTAGAATAGTTTTTGAGATATAGTCAATTTTCTATTTAATATGGAATTGACTATATCTCATAAACTGCTTCACTTTCATAATTATTGACGGTATTTTCGGATTCAGGGGACAATTTCACATAAGAATTGGCTGTTAAATTTTGAGATACCATGGTATTCCATAGTTAACCACGGTACAAGTGAAAAAGCAGTCAATAATAATTAAAATTTTTATATTTGGTATATTTTTAAATTAAATATACTAGGATTTATCAAAAAATGTTTAATATAATTATAATATAAAACATAACATACCTATAAAACTATAACTTACATATAAAAACTATAAAACATAATATATTATAAACATAAATAGCTATAATTTTAAAATTATAAAATATATATTATATAAATATATAAATATTATAAAACTATAAAATATATATTATATATTTCTTCATATTTATTTATTGCTCTTTTATTATATGTAGGTTAATGTGTAAAAAATTATAAAATATTTATTCTTTAAAGTTATAATAATATACGCCGGCGCCGCTAAAATTATCATCGGCGTACACGTCGCGTATTTAGGCATAATTAGAGGTATAAGTTAATACTTGCCGAAAGGGCTAATCCTCATCCGGCTTAAAAAGAAAATATTACAATACCTATAGATGTATAAACAGAAAATATATAAATTATACTCGTATCATAAAAGTAGGTAATAAATTTCACAGACCGAAGTTCTTCCGGACTAAAATGTTAAAAAGTATTTTAATTTAATTTCATATTAATATTTTAAACGTAGGACAAATTATTAAATATTTGATAAAAAATATTATATAATTATAAGTATAAATACCAAAAAATGGTCCTGTTAAAATGCAAGCTCTTAATATTACATTTACAGGTCCCTCATCGAGAATTTTTATTTCCCATTAAAATATTATGAGATTTTTTAAAAAACTTTAAAATTGTATAACTCGTAAACGGATTAGTAAAACTAAAACAAATTTTGGTAGGGCTCTTTTAAAAGGTATTCAAGGTAAAAGTTGAATTTATAGAAATTTTCAAGATTTTCAAACTTTTTCAGCAAAACAAAATTTATGGTAAAATTTAGTAGGACCCTTTTTTAGGAAAATATTATCTAAAACCATAAGCAAAGAAAGCTGCCTTTTTATTTAAAAAGAAATGGTAAATAATTACATTAATAATTATAATTGAAGCATGGCATTCCCAAAGGGTTTGGACCCAATTTGGTCAAATATTATATTATCATTTAAAAATAGTCTATGTGCCATGCAAAACGACTAAAAAAATATTTTCCATATTATTTTTGTATTTTAAAGATGTATGGATTTTCATTGATTTCACACAATTCTATTTTTGACACTTAGACCCTTTGGGAATACCAAGTTCAATTATTATAATAATTATAAATTTTTGCCGTTTCCATATTTTTGTCCCCTGAATCCGAAAATACCGTCAATAATTATGAAAGTGAAGCAGTTTATGAGATATAGTCAATTCCATATTAAATAGAAAATTGACTATATCTCAAAAACTATTCTACTTTTTTAACTTTTGACGGTATTTTCGGATTCATGGGATAATTTTACATAAGAATTGGCTATTTAGTTTTGGGATACCATGATATTCCATGGTTAACCATGGTACAAGTGAAAAAGCAGCCACTATTAACTAGTAATTTTTGACTAATTCATTTTTAGAGGGTATGTTTTTAATTTTAACACATAAAAGTGCAACAAATAATAAAATTTGTTTTTACTCCTAAAATAGTGTATTGAATCATTGCTAGTTCTGAAAAATGTAAAGTAAGTTTTAAAAAACTACAACTTGATAATATAATTTTTAGCCTAAAAAGTTCTTATTAAAAGTTTTTTCATAGAATAAATGTTTATAAAACTATACAAAAATATATCAAAAAATTAACGATTTAATAAAAATACAGTTAAATATGTAACATACCCAAAATAATTAATTCAATACGAGCAGGTAGTAAATTCTAAATATAGACATATTTTTAAATAAATCCCTAAGAGGCAGATGTTGACCATTTCCGAATGCCTCCGAACAATTACAATGGAGCATTCAAATGGACATTACTTCTTTTCGTAACTGTACAATGAATATTAATGTATTAAAGGATGAGAAATTATTTTTAATGCATTTGTGTAATCTATAAAAAATATAATTTTTTTTTCATACCCCCTTTTATAAATAATGGAAAAGAAAAATAGGTTTTAACTTTAAAAATATTATCGTTATCTGGTTCAACACAATATAATTGTCGTGTACCTGATCATTTTACACATTTTATAAAACGCTTTTCCGAAAATTTTGCCGCTGCTTGATAATTATCATTATTATAATCGTTCTACAGAAATATTGGACAAAAAAGAATCACCTAAAGCCCATTTCAAAGATAGTTTTATTCGAATATGTATACATATATTTGTTGAAAAATATTTATATTTTTTTAAGATTATAAAGATGTATGAAATATAGTTTATTATCTTACAATGCATTAGTAACTTGTTTTTTTATAATTCAACCTATCCTTATGTGTAATTTCAAATTTTAATCGTATTGAAATAAAAATATACGTGTAATTTGTTTTCTATTGTAAACAAAACAAAATATTCCAGACAAATTTAAATTTTGGTTGAAAATTTAAAGTAAAATTTATTATGTATGTAATTAAAATATTTTTGTATTTGTGTGCACCATTTTAGGAGGTTGTATTGTAAATATAGTATATGTATAATATATTTAGGTTGATTACGGTTGCTAGATTTTCTCTTTTGCAAGGCGATCTTGACTTAAGATATACGATTCTATTTAGGGTTTAGCTTTAAGTAGTTCCGCTGGGAGCGGGCGTGCACCGCACAAGGGTGGCACTTTCAAAGGGACGGCAAATACAGGAATCTCTTTACTGAGTTATTTACATACTTTACACCTATGTTTTTTATGATTTCATATCAACTACACTGAAAAAAAACATCTCTTAAAAGAAATGAAAATCACTTTGATTAAAAAAATTTGTAATTTTGAATAGAGCTATGTTTCTTAATATAAATCAGAAACTATCTTTACTTAAAAGAAAATACTTGAGGGGAGAGATTAATCTATTAGTTTAAGGATAATGCAATCAAGAGCAAGCGATTTCTTGGTAAAAGAAGCTTTTTTGAATGAAGAAAACGTTATTTAGCGCAAAAAAATGGGATTTTAGCAAGAAAACTGCATCCCTTAATTGAAAAGCCTTGGAACTTTCTAAGAAAGAAATGTTGTCTTGCTACAAAAGCATATACTATTGACCTAACCACATTTTATTTTGATTTTAGAGCAAATTTCTCTTGATCCAATAGTATGTATTGCTTTATTCAAAAGCTTCTGATCTTCACTAAAACTCCCAGCGTTGATAGTATCTAAGCCTTTTGATTTTATTTATTTAAACATGCATTTAACAATTAAAATTAAGGTCCTTCGTAGTGAGGAGAGTTCAAGCCTAAATATTGGCATCGTTGAAAACTAAAAGATTCTGAAAAAGAGGTTTAAAAAAAATACTTAAATAAAATAAGACATTTATTGTTTGATATCAATAAAAGCGTTTTTTATACTAACACCAATAGACTAACATAAATTTAATTTAACATACAATTTTTATTACATATTTTAATTAATACCTTTTAATTATGTAGGTATTATGAAAACTTATCATGCATATCAAACATAAACTTTTATCCGAAAAATTGTTTGTATATTTTTGTCAATAGTCATAAAACATTAAGGTAATAAAAACACAAAAGTAGACAGAAAGTGGTATATGAAACTATGGCAAAGTTACACCTGGCGAGAAACTTCTGCGAACTAAGTTGAGCGATAA